CGTATGATCCCAGACGCGATCTCCCAGTACAACTGGTCAGATCTTCATGTAGTGTAGGCCGGGTAACAAAACATACGCCACAGCTGCTAAATCGTCCGACCGGTCGACAAGAGTTGTCGTATATTTATTCTTTTGTAGGTAATTAGGGGGCATTTAATAGACAATTTCATACAGATGACATTATAATATTCGTCGTTTGAGGGTTCACAAGGTTCTAAAAACTAAAACAAGGGCTGTAACTCTGGAAGTAATCTACAGAAATTGTTGAAAATCGACAGGCTTTTTCGTTTTACTAATTCAAATAATGCATATCAATTTCATACAGATCGGATGATAACTTTTGTCGTTCGAACGTTCACAAGGTTCAACAAAGTAAAACAAGGGCCATAACTCTAGAAGTAATTGACATAAATTGCTGACATTCAATAGGCATCTTTGTTGCACTAATTTAAATGATGCATATCAATTTCAAACAGATTGGATGATAACTGTTTTCATTAGAGCATTCACAAGATTCAACAAAGTGAAACAAGGGCCATAACTCTAGATGTAATTAACAGAAATTGCTGAAATTCAATAAGCTTCTTTGTTTTACTAATCTAAATGATGCATATAAATTTCATACAGATCGGATAATAACTTTTGTCGTTAGAGCATTCACAAGGTACAACAAAGTGAAACAAGGGCCATAACTCACGGCGTAATTAACGGAAACTGCTGAAATTCAATAGGCTTGTTCGTTTCACTAATTTAAATGATGCATATCAATTTCAAACAGATCGGAAGATAACTGTTGTCATTATAGCGTTCACAAGATTCAACAAAGTGAAACAAGGGCCATAACTCTAGATGTAATAAGCGGAAATTGCTGAAATTCAAAAGGCTTTTTTGTTTTACTAATTTAAATGATGCATATAAATTTCATACAGATCTGTTGATAACTTAGAGCGTTCACAAGGTGCAACAAAGTGAAACAAGGGCCATAACTCTAGAAGAAATTAACGGAAGTTATTGAAATTGTGGACGACGGACGGACGGGGGCGACGGCAATACAGTGCTTGCCACGAAGAATCACTGCGTGAGTACTCCATTACTCACGCAAAAAAGACTCTGTGTGAGTTTGGCGAGTAACCGACTTACTCCCGCAAAATTTCCCCAGGGGAGTAAAATTACAATAGAGACCAAGAACTCTGACAAATGGCAGCTAGTCCTAGACTCCATTGATTAACTTCCATTCCTTATATCTAAGACTTTATTTTCTAATGTTCTTCACTAGAAGTGAGCCTTCTTGTTATTTATAATAATATTAATATTAATTCAATACTTGAACTTTTATTCATTCTAATTCCAAAAGGAAAACCTATTTATGCGAGTGCCTAGATTAATTTAATAAAGAATAATAAAAGAATATTTTGTCCAATTTTTTGGGGCTGAAAGTGAAAATAATAGTAGTTAAGGCCCTACTTTAAAAAACAAATATGAAAGGCTTTTGTCGAAGGAACAAAGACAACCGGTGAACTTATTGATAATAGTAGTCGTGTGTAAAGTCTAATGTACATGTAGGCTATAAGACCCTTGTCGTTTTGGGTCATATTCATCTTTCTAACAAAAGTTTTCTGTTATCCTGTTTAGCTAAGATAAGAGTGTTTTGTAATATACATTTGATGTTTAAAATTCGTAGAATGTACTGTCGCCCCACGATGTTGACAGTGGCATTGTCTGCTAAAATATACTTATATTAATAATAGTCATTAAATAGCACTCGTACGTACGGCAATGTCAACGCACCTTATTCTGACTTTATAGCTATTGTTATTCCAATCCAAATAGTTCTCGGCATTTCTAACTATATTCTAGCTTTTTTAATGTTTATTTTAAAATGAAACCACTATTCAAAATATAGACATAAAGACTAGAAAATGACATTATATTCGTTACAACATTCTACAAATTTTCATATCTCGTAATATTTCTCGCGAGAATCTACTTGGGATTTCAGTTAAATTAACCAATCATAAAAATTCTACGTTGCAAGCCCGAAATAATTTCTTTATTGTCCAATCAATAAACGCCTTCTATGTTTACTTTATTCTATTCTTAGTAACATTGTCTTATCGTATTATTATCGCTGTGTCACGTACAACGGGAAACAGAGCTGGCCAATTGCTTTATATTCTATCGTAGATACTGAATTAAAAATGGTGAACCAAGTAAACCAGGAAATCAAATAACTATGGTCTTCGATAGTTTTAAATTTTCATTTAAGAATTGTACATTTTTCTATGAAAAGTTTCTAGAAATATTTGCGCGAGTAATGCCCTACTCTCGCAAATTACATTTCAGGCGAGTATAGCGTGCGCTTGAGTAATGACTCGCGCCTCATGACGAGGTCTGCTGAATATACGACCACATTTCCTACATTTCCATGTGGGCGTATAAAAATGAAACGAAATATAGATCTGTATTTAAATAAGATTTTAGATACTTAGCAAAATTCATATTGCATCTTTATAATACCGGTATGTAAAAATTTATGTGGATCAACTGTCAGTGGCAAAATGCTTTAAAAACTGTAAAATTTTCATGAGCCTTGATGCTTCAGTGAGTAAGGTGCTGGCTCTCTAACCACAAGATCTGGGGTTTGATCCAGGTGTTGGCCAAGTCAGTGGCACAGGATGGAGGGTCTGGCAAGGAACAGCATCTAAACATTGGCATGGGACAACAACAAAATTGAGGTCCTGACGATCTTAACAGAACCCAGTGTATAGTTGTGATTTGATAAAGCGTAGGCAGAAACGCTGCTGTCCGGCCAACATTTTTCTCCTAACACACTACATGGTGTATGCCAGTCTTTACTGGCCTGTTTGGTGCAGAAAAGTAAGACATTGAACTCATTTCATCCACTAGAGGTCAAAAGGATGATGATACAGAACTGAAAATGTCCCCTCAGGGGATTACAAAGCGGCCCAGATGCCTTACTTGCAACCTTTTGACCTACAGTTGTTTGGCTTTGCTACTAAATCCCACTAGTAGTGTGTAGTTATTAAATCTTGCTACGAGTACAGCAATATGTACACAAGATGAAACTTCTTTTCGTTCGATCCTTTGGACAAGGCACATTTTCCATGTCAGCTCCGAAGGTATCATTCCTGACAAGAGCAGGTCGGGCTTGAAAATCATGATGGTGCCTACTAAGTCCAACCTGGGATTCAACCCTGGGACAATCAAGTCAAGAGGGATTATATTGTTAAATAAACAAAAGGAACCAATACCAAATATCCCAGTTGATGATTTGCCTGTGTGGATTTAATTGGATTAAAACGAGGCCTACCAGAACATTTTCACTTTCTCAGACTTCTTTGTAAATGATGACTGGAATTAAATTACTACCTGATTGTCGACCGAGGGGAGGTATTTTACCCTCTCCTTAAAACTGATAATCGCTATCCTTTACAAAGTCACGGGGGGTTTATCATTTAAGAAACCAGAAATGACCCTCCTAACATGCAGTTATACACACAACTAATCACTCTCCTTAATATAAGATCCATAACAAGGTCCATAACTCTAGACATAATAAACGGAAATTCAATAGGCTTCTTCGTTTCACTAATTTAAATCATGCATATAAATTTCACAAAGATTGGGTGATAACTTTTGGAGTTAACAGCGTTCACAAGGTTCAATAAAGTGAAACAAGGGCCATAACTCTAGATGTAGTAAACGGAAATTGCTGAAATTCAATAGACTTCTTTGTTTCACTAATTTAAATAATGCATATAAATTTCAGAAATCTTTCTGGAGATAAGCAGGGCTCTATAAAAGTTGAGTGTGCCTGTGAAGTGTGTGCCTGCAGGGTCATACTGAAACACAGGGATGTAGCCAGGATTTGGTGAGTGGTGTAAAAATATATTTGGCGAGCGGAGCGAGTCCCCAAAAGCTTTGGGAGGGGGGCGTGGTCTTTTATGAAAATTAAACCCTTCTTGGTGTATTTTCAGAGCATCTGCTGCCTTTTGTATTTGGTTCAGTGCAAATCAAATTTTCATTTATATTCAAATTTTACCAAATTCACTTAATTTTCATCATTGATACAGGGATCTAAAAACTTTTTAACACCACCCGACTGAGCAGAAACTGAGAAAGCTCTCATCGTCTTCCTAGTCCTACTCTCGGGCCGTAGCAAATCCACGGTCAACACAGGTAAGAAATAAAATAAGAAACATTGTGAAAATTTGCAGGAACGTGTTGGACAATTACGACATTCAAACCTTTAACATTGGAGTGCCGTAAATTGGTCTGGGTGACCTATTTACGGCAAATAAACAAATATAAAGACCGTAGAATAATTGTAAAATGAATAGACCTAGGCCTACACATCTTCTAAGTATAAATGCTTCTTTCTTTAAACTAATTTGGGATGATAGGGTCTACTAGCACACAAAAATAAATTATGCCGTGACAGACAGAGCGCCGAGTTTGTGTACAGAGAAGGACGAAGGGGTTTAAATACGACTGAGCGGCTTTTTTCGATTTTTTCTTTGTGCTGGGCGGCAAAAAATAGTTTTTTTAAAGCAAATGTGCCTGCGCACGCCGTGCACACGCCGTGCACATGTGCGCGGAAATATTGATGCCTGGAGATAAGACTAACACGGACCAACATTTCAATTCAAAATGTGTTTTAACAAGTGATCAAAGAGTATGTGTTTAGCTAGAACAGTGACAGTTTAAACACACACCAACGAAATCTACTGGATTACAATGTGATATCTGAATGCTATTTCGGCTTATTAGTTTGCCTCAAATCATTATGTAATGAATGTGGCATGAAAATAGATCTGGTATAGTATTCTGAACTAGGAGCCGAGGTGGCTCAGTCAATAAAGCAGTGGCTCAGTGAGTAAGGCGCTGACTTGGGTTAACTCCCAGTCTTTTAGGTCAAAATATTTCCGATAAATTAATAAAAGAAATATAAATTGAATTAAAATGTAGATATATTTTACCTGATTCAGTTGATGACATACGTTCAGGGGTGGGCTTTTCAGATGTTGGTGTATCAATAATACTTGATAAAGATAGACGTCGTTTCGGTGTGCCCCTATTAGTGGATAAAAAGAAAAACAAGATATAAACCTGAGTACAGTTGGCCACTCTCATATAAACTTCTGACAAAAATCAAAGGAATATGCTTAAATATGAATGATGTAACAAAGATGGAGAAATTTACATATTTCTAGAGCTATCAGCAGCCAAGATTTCTGTGCCTCCACGTTTATACATTAGAGATGTCAAACCTATTGCCCGCATGACACAAGTGTCACATATGACATCATATGACTAGTATTATTTGTCACACAAAATGTAAAACTTGGCCACCAGTTATATGCATATATGTATATAATACAATGTACCATATAGGGTTCTTCTCAAATTCTCTTTTGTCAATCAATTTCCACATTTATTTAGTTTGCATGCCACTCAGAATATTACAATACATGTCTTACTTACAAATTATTAAATTAGGCCAAGTATTGCAGCTCAGAATGGTATTTTGATACATGTATTTCTATTCTCTGTATTGCAATATTGAATATGTTTTATTCAATATAAATTAAAATAGACTAATCGTTTGTATTTTATCAAAGCATTTTTTAGTCTTAATAATCAGAAAACAACAAGACAATTTGCTAGACAATGAAAGATGCTTCCACAGTAGGTAAGTCGTAAAAACAGTCAATAAAGGTTGTCGCAATCAATTAACTTTAGCCAGATTGATAAAGGGCAATAACTTAAGCAATTATCAAAATCATTCAAAACCAACAGGCATCATTTCACAAACATATTATTTACCATTTTCAAACTATTCAGGTACATTAGCCACTACAGAGTTCAAGATTCTAAAGATAGACTGCCAGGCAACAAAACATACACCTACAACAACTAAGTCATCCGGGTTGTCACACCTTTTTTTCTTTTGTCAGAAATGAAAACATTTGCAACACACTATGACTATGAGTAACAACCCATTTGGCTTCTAGTTCTGAACTATGTACAAAACATTTAATATCAATTGCCATAATCATTGGAAATCGTTGAAAATTGATAGACTTCTTATCTCATGACCATAAACAAATATAAAATTAATTGGATATTAACTTGAGCCACTAAAGCGTCTACAAGATTTTTTTAGAGTGATCAAGGGCCAAAACTATGGCAGTAATTATTGGAAATTGTTGAAAATCCATAGACTTCTTCGTCTCATGTCCTTAAAACACTGTAAATCATTGAAAATCAATACGACAATAGGATTCTTCGTCTGATGACCATAAGCCAGTAATTCTCAACAAGTGTGCTGCGGCAGATCTTCCTAAGTGTGCCGCAAGATTTTGAACGGCACACTAAGAAAATGCAAAAAAACATGTGATCCTAATATTTTTCATATATTTAGCCAGGTGTGCCGCTATTTTTTTTATATGTTCCAAGGTGTGCCATAGTCGAAAAAGGGTTGAGAACCATTTCATTTTAAAAGCACTGTGTCAATCGAATATTAACTTTAACCTCAAAAGGTTCCACAAGATATTTCAAGGTGATCAAGGGACGTAATCTGGCAGTAACTATCGGAAATCGTTGAAAATCAACAAGCTTCTTCGTCTCATGACCTTAAACACATGGTATAAATTTAAAGTCCATTAGACATTGACTTTAGCATATACATGTAGAGCGTCCACAAGATATTTCAAAGTGATCAAGGGCCATAACTCTGGCAGTAATTATCAGAAATCCTTGAAGATCAATAGGCTTCTTCGTCTCCTGACCTTAAACACTGTGTATTTAAGTTTAAAGGTAATCGGATATTAACTTTAGCTTCCAGAGTGTCCACAAGATTTTTTTTAGAGTGATCGTTGAAAATCAATAGGCTTCTTTCATCTCATGATCTTAAACACTGTGTATAAATTTAAAGTCAAGTGGATATTAACTTAAGCCCGTAGATGTTCGTATAAAAAGTGATCAAGGGCAATAAACACTGTATATAAATGTAACGTCAACAAGATTTTTAAAGGGTCACAACTCTTCAAGCAATTATCAGATTTTTCAAAATGATTCAGGGAAATAACTCATCAAGTAATCAGCAGATGACAACTTCAGCCACTACAGAGTCAACAAGATTTCTCAAAGTGATCAAGGGCGATAAACTCATCAAGTAGCTATTGGAAAATGTTGAAAACCAAGGCTTTTTCGTCTCATGGATATAAAGACTTATGTCATTCCTCATGAATAGTTCGATGGACAGGGGTGACAACTGACGACAATATAACAACCACATAAAAATGTGGGTGTAAAAAGAGTCATGGGCTTTATTTCATTACTTTTTTTTTTTATAAAGATAGCCATGCAAAGGGATGTTGACCAAATTTGATATTTTGGGAAACGTGGGTAAAACTCTGGAACTGACTGGAACAGAAAGTTGCAGAACGCTGAATATCAAAAGGGTTCATCCTTTAGTGGCCAAATTGCTATAAACCCATTTTCGAAAAAATCGGTTAAAGATAGAATACAAGGCTACAAAATATATGCCCACAGATCGAGCAGTTAAAAAGGGTAAGGGTTGTCGCATATATTTTCTTTGTCAGTAATGAATACATTTATAACACAGTAAAGTGATCAAGGGTCATACTCATAACTCGGTCAGTATATCATTATCAATAAGTTTTTGCCTCTCATGACTAAACAATGTGTATAAATCTAAAGTCAATTTGATGATAACTTTAGTATCTAGAACATTCCCAGAAAATCAATCGACTTCTTGGGTCTCATGATCATGAACACAGTGTATAAATTTAAAGCTTCCACAAGATTTATCAGAATGTTCAAGGGCTATAACTCTGGCAGTAATTATTTGAAATCTATAGGATTCTTCCTCTCATGACCGTAGACACTTTGTTTAAATTTAACATCAATCAGATGATCACTTTGGCCTCTAGAGCGTCCATAACATTTTTCAAAGTAGTCAAGCGCCAGTCCAGAAGTAATTATTGGAAATTGCTGAAAATTAATAGATATAGGGTTCTGCATATCATCATGACCATAAACAATTGGAGTAACAACAATATACGATTACATTTCAATGTGAAAAGACTACAGCTTCTATCGCATTCACTATTTTTTTGGCAAAGGCAGAACGGAAACTAGCATAACATGACCCAAATCTTTCCCACCAAATTTGAAAGAATCTGTTAATAACTATCGCGTTTACAAGGTTTTTAATAACTCCGGAATGTAAAGTCGCAGAATGCTGAAAATCAAGGCTTTGTCCTCTCATGACTGTAGCCTATAGGGTGTTTCACAAGGCTTTCAGCAAGGGGATGGGGAGGAGAGAAAAATAACTCCAGAATGGAAAGTCGTAGAATGCTAAATATTGGTAGATTTTTCTCCCATGACCACAATTAATACAACCCAAAACTGTAGCTTTTATCTTTGAATGTGTATAAAAATAATTTGTGGATTACGGTAATAACGTTCTAACACAGAACTGCCCAAATCTAAAATCTACTGTAATCACTGTCAGATTCAGATAAAATCTGAATCACTATCATTCAATATAGACGGTTATTACATCATTAGCAAAATTTTTATTTTGTTTAACATCCACTTGACACAATGTAGACAGGTCATTTCGGGACTGATATATGGTTCAATTTTATTTTAATAATTCATTGCTTGTCATGTACAAGGACGGGAATCAAAACCACACTACTTGACTCAATTTGACCACCCAACCCCCGAGAACAAAAGTCGTTGTTTTATAAGGGTGGTAACTGTCAATAAGCTAGGAACACTGCATTTAGCTAACTGAAATGTAGTAAGAATTGCATATTTTCGAAAAAATAAAGTCAAAACATAATCATTTCTATATATCTATCATTACTTAAACATACATTATGCAAGAGCTAAATCTGCCAATTGCAGGTCTTTCTGTAGGCCTGAAATGTTACCTAAATTATTAATTAACTTATCCAAACCATAATCAACTCTCTATGTCATTGCTATCCTGCAATATTTAGCGGATTGGGATCATTTTTTGAAAAATAATTCAACGTAAAAATGGATAATCAAGACTTTGTTTTATATTGTACAGACTTTAATAAAGATGATCAAGGCTAGCCTAAAATTGAAAAACTAAAAATTATAAAATCTTGATTCAGAGTGGAGCCTATTTTTTTTTAACTATTATAGCCAGAACTGTCAACTCCTTATCTTATCTCCCATAATGCCTCTTTAATAGGTTGTTAAATCACTACTTTAAAATCATGGGAATCATTCTAAAACATTCACACAAAAATTTGAAATAATATCTACTTGCTGACAAGATTAGGAAATTGTATTATTTCTTTTCACTGGAAAACTAAGTCTGCACTGTGAAAAGGTAGTTGTCTCGATTGTCAAGGTCCGTGTATTTTAAGGCTTTATTTTAACATATTTTAAACATATGACTTAAAAAATGCAATTCTCGCTTTAAGAATTAAAGTACATGTAAGCAGTTTAAAATATGACTTCTAAATGGAAAGTCTCTAATGTGTTCACGATATTTTTGGAAAAGGGGATAACTCAGTAAAAGATAGGTTGCCAGGCAACGAAACATACGCCCACAGCAGCTATATCGTCCGGGCAGTCAACAAGAGTTGTTGCATATTTTTACTTTTTTCGGTAATGAAACATTTATAATACATTAAAATCTGATTAAGAGTAACATCTCATTAAGTAATTATCAGAAAACCATTAGAATTTGTTTGGTTTTTATAAAGTTCTGCCCCATACGTTTAGTATACGAAACTTTTAACATCATGGATTTAGCTGTTCAATTCATAAAGATTCATTGAAAATCAATATACTTGTTCGTCTCAAGACCTTAAAAAGGCTTCTTCATCTCATGACCTTAAACACTGTGCATAAATTTAAAGTCAATCGGATATTAATTTTAGCCTCTAGTGCATCCACAAGATTTTTTGAAGTGATCAAGGGCCATAACTCTGGCAGTAATTATCGAAAATCGCTGAAAATCCATAGGATTCTTCGTCTCATGACCTTAAACACGGTGTA